ATTTCTTATAACTTATCTTTATGTTATAACAAATTTTATGGTTATATAGAAAGTGAATATGAGGATGAAGAAGGTAATGACAACGAAAATGAATGGGATTTCTCAACAGATAGTTCATCTGATACTAACGTGGAGGGTGAATTTAATTCCATATTGAATAGTCATGAAAATGCACAACATGAAGGTAGTAATGTTTGTGCTTTAATTTATATGTTTCATGAAAAAAGTTTATTAACCGTTGCATTTCATTTTAATGCAGGCGTGATTGAAACTCCTTTTTGGAATTCAAGTCAAAATTATACTTATATTAATTGGCAGCATGCTGATCAAGAATTGAAAAATTTAGATATTTATGTAGATGAAGCATGGAAGGAGGTGATGTGTTGTATGTTGGCCAAGTGTTTGACTCTAAAGATGATGTAAAAATGGCTATTAAACATTTTGCAATGAAGGCACATCAAAGTTATTTTGAGGTAGAATCAAAACCAACAAAATTATATGTAAAGTGTCCAAATCATACAAGTGGATGCCCTTGGAAAGTTAGAGCAACATTGGGCAAAAATTACCACAAGTGAAAAATCACAAGATGTAGTGGAATACATACATGTGTTAATCTAATGATGTCTCTAGACCACAAAAAACTTGATTCAAACTTCATTAGCTCTTGTGTTCTTGGTAAGTTTTACTGAAGTAATTATAGATATTTATTTGAAGATTGTTAAATTTATTGAAGAATGTTACTAAATTTCATATTCTTAAATGTTGTAGGTATGGTAAAAGAACAACCATCGGTGTCAATCAAATTAATTCAAGAAAGAATTAATGGTCAATTTGGTTATCAAGTTTCTTATAAGAAAGCATGGAAGACAAAACAAAAAGTTATAGTAAGGGTTTTTGGTGATTGGGATGAATCATATGCGACATTGCCTAAATGGTTAGAATACATGCAATTACATGCTCATGGGTCTATTTATAAGATTGAAACCAATGACTATGTGAGGGGTCACCAAGTTGACAATAGATACAAAGTATTTCATTGGTTATTTTGGTCATTCAAACAATGCATAAGTGCTTTCAATTTTTGCAAGCCTTTAATACAAGTTGATGGTACATTCTTGTATGGTAAATACCGACAAACTTTATTGATAGTTACCACTCAAGATGGAAATAAATGTGTGCTTCCAATTGCATTTGCAATTGTGGAAGGGAAAACTTTGTCAACATAGGAATGGTTCTTGGCTCTCATTCGTCTTCATGTTACAGATAAGACATGTATCTCTTTAATATCTGATAGACATCAAAGTATCAAAGGTGCAGTTTCTAATCCACATATTGAATGACAATCTCCCAATGCATATTATATGTATTGCATTCGTCATATAACAAGCAATTTTAATCAACGATTCAAGAATCCTATTTTGAAGAAAGAGCTGATAAAATTAGGTACGTACTGTGTTGTTTTAATTTATAATATTTAGGTCGAAAGAATATTATTTTGACGATTACTATTATGTCATTGAGTTTAATAGCATACATAGCATGCAAAGACATATTTGAAGACAAATTGCAACGATTTCGTAATCAGTCAGAGAACATAAAAAAAGTGGTATCTCTAAAGAAAAGTGGAGTTTGGCCTACAACGATTAAGGAAGGCGTTATGGACATATGACAACAAATTTATCAAAGGCAGTTAACAAAATCATTAAAGGAACAAGGAATTTTCCAATAGCAGCACTGATTAAATGTATGTATTTGCGTTTAGTTTCATATTTTGTTAAGCGTGGTGAAGAAGCAACAAGAGAACTTAATAATGGTCAAAAATTTTGTCATAAATTAATGCAACAAATCACAAAAAATCAAGAGGAAACGTCTTCACATCAAGTTCGATGATATGACATTGAAAGAACGAGATTTGAAGTAGAAGAGACATTTAACACTGTCACGCAACAAGGTGGTAATAAGTTTGCTGTGATATTATCCAATCAATATTGTCAATGCAAAAAGTTTCAATCGTATCAGTTTCCATGCTCACATGTCATAGCTGCTTGTGCATTAGTCAGTATATATTATTGGTAATGGGTTGATCCTGTATATTCGATGCAGTATGCTGTGAATGCATACTTATCACAATGGTATCCTCTTGGAAATGAAAATAACATATTAACATCCAACGAGTTAAAGTTATTACCTGACGTGCATAGAATCAGGGGAAAAGGTCAACCAAAATCGACACGTATTAGGAATGAAATGGATTAGGTGGACTCTCAACCACGTCAACAATGTTCCTTTTGTAAACAAATTGGTCATAATTGTCGTCATTATCCAATGCAAAGTCGAACAACTGAGAATAATTCGTAATAGAGTGTTTAGTTATTGTCATTGTGGTGATGGAACCAATTTCATCGTTTTTAGTATTAAGTCTTTGTGATAATTTGACTATGTTGTGTAGTTTTTTGATTTGGACTGTTTGATCTATTAAATCCTCATTTAGACCAATGTCAGTTTTTACACTGCAGGTACTTCTTATCCAAGTTTTTATATTGATATTATGATTTATCCTCATTTAAACCAATCCTCATTTATATTGATATTATGATTTATCCTTTTTCCATGATCCTGATTATGAGTATTTTAATGATTGTCTTGCAAAGCAATTATAATTTTTAGTGTTATTGGTTATAATTTACATTAAAAACAAATGAATAAAGTTATAATTTATACTAAAAACAATATGAGAAAGTGAATATATATGGAAATTTGTTTAATCATATTCAATTACATTTCAAGGTGATTATGTTTATATGCATTTTAAATAGTGTAAACAGTTTATAAATAAGTGGCATGAGTTAATATTTTAAAATGATACGAGAATTGTTTAGTTTTGTATTATTAATGTAATGATAAATATTTAAATTATCAAATAGAAAAGTGTCAGTTTTTAGAGAAGTATTAATAAATATTAATTGTACAATGTTGTATATTATAAAATGTTGTATATTATGCAAAGGCTAATATCATTGTTGTCAATTAGCTAATCAGAATGTAGTGTTCCTTTTCATCTAATTCCTTTTTCTTTTCTTTTTTTTACATGTCAACGGGTGCAATTTTCAATAATGTAAGGTTAAAATGACATAAATCTGGCAATATTTTGTCATAAAACGTGAACGAACAACTTCTATGCATTCATTTTAATATGTCGGCACTGAAATATAATGCGATAAGATATAAAATAGATGATGAGAATTGTTTAAAAGATAAAGACATTAAGTGAAATACACAACTATAATAATGATATCCTCGGTCAAATATATAACATTTCAATGGTATTATCATTGTTGTGCTCCGTGCTGATCATGATTTTTATGTGGCGTCAAGATGCATTGACGAGGTCGATCTCTGGCATCTCGATGAGGATTACGTTGCACATGTGGCTCCCTAGCATCTGCGATTGCTCTAAACTGCTCATTGAGATCAATGCCAGTATCCCCTAACGGTTCTGCATGAGACCCTCCACCTGTCTAATATAATGGATCTGGTGCAGATGGTGTGAACAATGACGGATCATATGGAAGGGGAGTCATGAAATGATGGAAGTCGGGAACATACTCTTGTCCATTACTGAACGGAGACCCAACATCTGTGGTAGGTTGTGATGAGTGAAAATATGAACTCTGTGTAGATTGAGAAGGGATGAATAGAACCTGTGAAGGGATATAATACAATCCATCTTATCTAATTGGTAGGGGGGTATAGACCATTTTGCCGCCTGCACTTGTATCCTACGTGGTTGCAGACCTCTCCCTTTTTTACGTCCCTCATGTTGTCCAAGATCAATATGAGGGCCTTCTGTGTGCCCACTCTGAACAGGTTGGTTAAATGATGAGGCTGGTTCCAATATGCGTACTTGTTCTCTCTGTAAAGACAACATGGTCTCACTTAATGTACGCAGCTCATCAAATGTGAATGATTGTTGGCCGTCAGTATCTAAGTAGTATGTCATGTGAATGATTGTTGGCCGTCAGTATCCAAGTAGCATGTCCTCTCATGTGCATCTCCCTGCATTGCATAAGGAGGTAGTATATGTTTCATTAAATTTAACATTTTTAAAAACACATTGTCGCATATTGTATATACATACAACAAGGGGGAATGCAAATACATACCAATAGTGAAAAAACTGCTGCATCTCTCGTTATCCAACGTCTAGTAACTGTCATATACCAACGCATGTACTTCGAATTGGAACTCAATAATCCCTCTTGAGGGCCATTACTGAATACCCAATCAGTGCGCTTCTCCCATAATGCTAAAACCTGTCTAAACTTATCATTCCAATTCTCTCCTATCTTCCCTTTAAGTATGATGTCATGTAATGCATCAGGTTGGTATGGAGCACGAGGAATATGTTGCCCCATTCCAAATTGACGCACTACATGGTCTGGTTGGTGCCACTCACATATCTAAATGCAAATCAAAGGCACGACTGACCTCCAAATGTTCATCCCTTGCAAGCATATTGGGGGCAATGACTCAACTATATCCTGATTATAAGGCTGCCAAACAATCTGCAAAATGATTTATAAGATTTATTCAAATACAAACATTTGAATGTTTATACTATTTATTTAAGTGTCAAAAATTAAATAATACCTATTCCCATTTAAGACAATCAAGTTTATATCTATAATATGCGACATCCTTCTTCGCCTTTCTGGGCACCCAATTAACTAACCACCTAAACATAAACAAAGTAAACTAAGTTAATATAAAAAAAATTTAAATATATATGAAAATTTATAAAACTACAAAATTTATATCATTGAATACCTAGCACCATACGGAAGATCATGCCGCAAATGTGGATGTGAGGGAGGAGCCAAACATGGAAACCTATCCCACGTCCACATAACTAACAATGGAGTTAATCCCCCAATGGCAACTCTGTCAATGTTTGTCGCCATGTATAATTCTCTATATAAAAAACTAAGAGCTGCTCCTTTCTAACTATATTGTCTTGTGATAGCAAAGTCCTCAAGTAAAGGCAAATATCGGACTGTGACTCTACTGCTAGAGTAATCTACTAACATAAATCCTCCAATCAATCTCATAATATACGCTCTAGCAAATCTCGTTAGTTGAAGCTCGTTCTGATTATGCATAGCTACATCAAAGAAATGTTGGTCTAACCAAGTAAGCTTCAAGCTGCTCCCCACAAATGCCTCTGGTGGTGACCTAACACCTAGACTATCCTCAACTATCTGTGGCTAGTTACCTCCAGTAGCTGCAAATATTAGAAGCTCATCAACCCGAAGACCTATTTGTATAGCTATATCTTGAAGCATTATGGTGCATTCTCCTAGTGGCATATGAAAGGTGTGTGTCTCAGGCTTCCATCTTTCAACTAATGCGGTAATCAAGTACCTATCCAATGGAAAGTTGGCAAGCTGTGCCACTCCAGCAAAGCCAGCCAGCTTCAAATGTGATAGAATCTCCAATAGTATACCGTCTAGGCCAGCTGGTATAAACTGATACTTCCTAACCTTCATCATGGGATGTTCTCGACCATCTCAAATGTGTTCAGACACATTTATACTTTGAAAACGTAATAATGATGGATCCTCACGGCCCTGGATTAATCACTAGACCTTGTAAAGAAGATGATGTCATATGATAATTTTCAAAAAAATTGTTAGTATTATTAACATATTAAACATGACAAGATAATGGTAAAATTAATATTTTACTGATCTAAATACACAACTACAAATTTAGTAAACGAAATTACATAATAATTGAAAATTTTAATAATCATATAAAAAATATAAAATAATATTACAATTACATATTCATACTCAATATTACTTTAATTTAATTTTTGTACAAACTATAAATTTATTAACATTACAAAACTAGTTACTGCAAATTAGCATTTTTGTTTAAGTGCACATAGAAATTTTTATGTTAATAAATAGTAAATATAATAATTATGCCTAATATTTATTACTCTTCTAATAATATACTTTAAATTTTATATACCTAATATTTCAATTTTATTATATATTTACTTACATTAGCGGCTGATTTAATATTTTACTACATGCATAATTTATTTTTGTTTAATTTTATAATAATACAAACAATTCCTGTCAGAATATGCGTATCAAAATCTTTATTTTTTTACATATAATTTTTATTACACTGTACTATTTAGTATTTATGTATGATAATATATTTAATAACTTATGTAAATAATTTTGTTTAATATTTCTATTATAATAGAGGTCAAAAATATGTATAATTATAAAATCATGTAATTATAATTTTTTAAACAAATGTTACTATTATAAAATCTATATTAGTCCATAATAACCTAAAAATTCAAAAAAAAAAAACTTTATATAAATATAATTTAGATAAGTTACATAGATTTTCTATCTTAAAAAAATCATTTGTCCGTAATTATTATTTTTAATAATTTTATATGTTTATTATTTTAAATATACATATATTTCATTTAAACTATATTTTAAATTTCCTCTTTATATTGTTATTAAGAATGAATTTATTCATGGGTTTAATCTTTTAAAATTCTATTATTTCTAATCTATTGATAACAAATTATAAATTACTGTTTATTATTTTTTAAATTTATTTTCATGAAATTTTGATTTACTGTACTCAAAATTATTCTACATTTTAAACATGTTTCATAAAATTATACTTTCTACACCTATAATTTACCCTTCTAATTCATCTTAACAGTGATGAAATTTTTTACAAATTTTATTTAATTTATTATGTTTTATTATGCAATTTTAATTTCTTAATGTAACTCATTATCTATTTTTCTTCTCAACCAACTTCATATTTTATTATGTTGTAATTAAAGATTATTTTAATTTCAATTTACTATTTTATAAAAATACTAAACCAAAAATTTATTTTATTCACAATTAAAAAAATATTAATCTATTTTTACTGACTTTACTAAATATTTTACACAAAATTTATAATCTTTTCATCATAACTACGCTTAAACTTAAACATATTATAAATTTTTTCAATTTAATTCTATTCTTCAGAATTAAATATAACAAATGTATATTCAACTTATAAATCTAATTTTTTTTAAAAATTATTAATTCAAATATTACATTTTCAACTAATTTTACGTTAAAATTACCCAAAAAATATATAAACATTAAAATAAATTACAAAAAATTATGCATGACATTTTTATCCTTCGCTAACCTCTTTTGCCGATTGAAATGGAGTTTCACTTTTGTATTCTCCAGGTACCAGCATCAGCAAATTTTCAAAATATAATAAACTATTATTTTTCTATTGCAAATAAAATAAACAAATTTATTACAAAATTTCATTTTTAGCTTTGAATTTTGTCCAGAAAAATACAAAATCAATAACTTGTTGCCTCAAATTTGACACAAGTAATGGACAAATGCTCTTATGGCCGACATTAATGGAAGCTGAACTGCAGGGAGGGAAGAAGAACGGTTATCGCCACTGATGCATCGATAACCTTATCGTAGACGCAGAGTCGATACAGCGTACAATTTTAACACGTATTCTCTCTGACCGTTGATTTTGAAAAAGGTTATTGTTGCTATTGGTGCAATACAAATGACGATCAGACACGTGGCAGTTATCGCCTTCAAGTATCCGATACAAGTAAATTTTTAAATTTTTTTTCTTTTTTAAATTACTTAAAAATTTCTGCGTCTACGTGTTAAATTTTGGGAGAGTATCGGTTGGAGATTGCTGATAGTCTATTGAAAAATTTAAAAAAAATTAGGCTATCATATATGCAGGTGCGATACAGGTGTTGATCTGGCAAAAATTAACACCAGACAGGGAATATGTTTAAAAAAAATGCTTATTTGAGAATTTGTTTTTAAATTAGCATTATTTAAATAAATTTGCCCACACATTCTCGATGTTAATATCCAAACATGCAAATTTAGAACTTTTTATCCGTTAGGCAATTAAGTAGCCATGCAAGGCAAGGCCATTAGTCATTTTAATCTTAAGAAAGTATAAGTTTAGGCCCAAAGTGGACAATATCATGCTAGTATAGAGATATAGTAAAAAGATCCATACTTGTTCTAACACATAGCTCACACATTCTCGATGCTAATATCCAAACATGCAAATTTAGAACTTTTTATCCCTTAGGCAATTAAGTAGCCATGCAAGGCAAGGCCATTAGTCATTTTAATCTTAGGAAAGTATAAGTTTAGGCCCAAAGTGGACAATATCATGCTAGTGTAGAAATATAGTAAAAAGATTCATACTTGTTTTAACACATAGCCCACACATTCTCGATGTTAATATCCAAACATGCAAATTTAGAAGCTTTTATCCCTTAGGCAATTAAGTAGCCATACAAGGCAAGGCCATTAGTCATTTTAATCTTAGAAAAGTGTAAGTTTAAGCCAAAAGTGGACAATATCATGCTAGTATAGAGATATAGTAAAAAGATCCATACTTATTCTAACACATAGCCCACACATTCTCGATGTTAATATTCAAACATGCAAATTTAGAACTTTTTATCCCTTAGGCAATTAAGTAGCCATACAAGGAAAGGCCATTAGTCATTTTAATCTTAGAAAAGTGTAAGTTTAAGTCCAAAGTGGACAATATCATGCTAGTGTAGAGATATAGTAAAACGATCCATACTTGTTCTAACACATAGCCCACACATTCTCCATTTTAATATCCAAACATGCAAATTTAGAAATTTTTATTCCTTAGGCAATTAAGTAGCCATGCAAGGCAAGGTCTTAATAGCATAGACTCAAACTAAACAATATCATACTACTGTGAAGATATAGTAAAAAGGTCCATACTTATTCTAACAAATAGTCCACACATTCTCAATTTTAATATCCAAACATGCAAAGTTAGAACTTTTTATCCCTTAGGCAATTAAGTAGCTATACAAGATAAGGTCTTAACAGCCTTGGATATTACAATTGTCAATTAAATCCCAAAATTGTTGTGCCATGTCATTTCAATCTTAGGAAAGTGTAGGGTGTCGTACGATTATAGCACTTTTGGTTTTGGCCAATTAGATTTCATACAAAGCATCACCTAACTCCACTTGCTTGCCACCTTACTTACGACACCAAGAAGAACATCCAATTAAAGATTTATAACTACATAAAATTTGTAAAAATAGTGAAAGTTAAAAAAAGTAGTTCTTGTTTTTATTTGCCAAAGCTTAAGCCTAAAATTCAGATGCAAAAAGTACTTTCATTCTCATAATCTCATGATATAAAATTTAGAAGTGAAAACAATAGCATATATAATAAAAGGTTTACAAAGCATCACCACATGTAACCAAATTTTAAATAGCATTAGATCACATTGACTATAACAAACACCACAATTTCGGAAGATAATTGCATGGGTCATACAGAGAAAATTCCATAATCAACACACAGAGAGACAACAAAGTATGCAAAAAAGCATGTAGTCAATCATTCACGAGCAAGAACAACCACTTGTTTACCAACATTACGACCACTAAAGAGGCCAACCAAGGCTGCGGGGCCATTCTCAAGACCTTCAACTATGTCTTCCACATACACAACCTTCCCTTCTCTAATATGAGGCAGCACAAACTCCAAGAATTTTCCATATAAGTGATAAAATTCGTTTACAAGAAAACCTTGCATAAGAACCCTCTTAAATATGAGATTTGCCAAATTTGTTACACCTTCAGGTTGAGTAAGATTGTACTGTGACACCATTCCACATACGGGTATGCGACCATGGAGTTTCATATTCAAGAGTACAGCATCAAGTGTCTTCCCACCAACATTCTCAAAGTAAATATCAATGCCTTCTGGAAAGTACCTATTGTATCAAATGATATCCACCACTTGTTAGTGTGTACTGAGTTAGAAATCATAGTAACTTATGGCAATGGAAAAATTTAATTAAAATTTATCTATCTTAAAACTTCTAAATACTGACCTTTGCAAAGTTGTATTGAGATCAGGCTCTTCTTTGTAGTTAAAAGCTTCATCAAATCCTAATTTGTTCTTCAAGAGGTCCACCTGGTTATAAAAGACATGCATTCAAGGACTACAATTTTTGGTTGACCAAATATGAACTGAACATATTTCAGTTTCAGGCCTTCAGGTATTGCTAGTTTATGACACAAATCTCTTCATAGTTTTCAAGGTTATGACACAACACATAAATAATAGGACATAGCAAACGAAGTTGAGCACACAACCACGTAGTGATCAATTTTTGAAGTATACATTAAGGGTAAAAAAAAAAATCTTGTATTTTAGTCCTATATCTTGATTCTTGGAAAGTCCCAAAAGTATCCAACAAGTTTTCATTGACAAGGAATTTATAAATAACAGAGAATTTTCTCCAAGCCTGATAATTGGCCAAGGAATATTTGTCATATATTTGGGCTAAGTCAAAATAGCAGTACTCTGAACACCAGAATAAATAACAAAAAGCTAATGCTAATTTATACTTCATTCAGGCATATATGACAACA